GGTCGATTACCCTGCGCGTATTCACCATCTACTCTTTTTTCCGCAGGTGTTAATTTGTGACACCGATCCTTTAGTTCTATTTTGTAATACAACTTGCTGGACAAATATTGAGAAATGGAGTTGACGTGTACTTGAGTATATTTCCCTTTCTGTGTTATAGGCCTTAGTTGTATGCAACAACGCAATGAATGTAGATCCATTACGAAGTTAAAATAATATCAATTGCCTCCGTGATGAACCCCGAGGCACGAGTTTTCCTGGGTTTTGTTATTAACCTCACGATTTTGACCTTTTACCTTAAACGACTGACATACAGAGTTTTTTAAACTTAGTATAGTTTTTTGTATCGTTTTGTTGCAGACTATCGGCGACCCTGGGGCAACAGTTTGGCGGTCTTTGTTAATCACATCTTTATGATTATATCCTCGCAGTCCATTTTTTTTACCTTAAAACACCCAGAAATTTCGAGTTTTTTTCCTATGTCTTGTTAGATATTTTGTCCTCGTTTTGTTCCAGAACGTAGTCACTCGTAGGTGCAAGGTGCGCTGTAACAGTACCCATGTTAATTTTAACATATTGCTTTGGAATGAGAAAGAAAATATGTTGGTAGTACCTATTGGCTTTCGGTCTAGTCGGCTGAATCAACTGCGTTCGTGTACCCGAAGGGATCTCTTACACGGTTTATGTTTTGAATTACACTGCTCACCACGCTAATGGTCAGTTTTCCTGGCATTTCGTGTGTGTCCGAGAAACTTATCTGTGGTCAGCTAATGGATTGTGAGAGTTATTGCTATGTTATTTCGTTGGTGTCTAACATTCAACAGCCTCGTCACACTAAAATAAAAACAAAGTAAACGAAACCAAATATGGTTGTTGACAATAGCGTCGAGCCCTGGCGCAGTTGTTAACAATTACACCGCGTAATAATATCAATATACAACACTTCTCACTAAACACTGGAATGTGTTTAATCTAACAAAGTAATTTTCAATTAAGGAATAATTTCATATTTATATTGTGCATATTTGTTTTCAGCCTCGGTGGAATATATTTAACGATAGATGATGACAAGTTATTGAGAATATTTATTATTAGTATAATAATTTAGCAATGTAAAAATATAATTTTTCTCGTATTATATTTTTATTTATTACCTCTTCTTTTACAAGACAAGAAAATCCTGCAGAAATACGAACATTCACGGAAGAAATGAGTTCGCGTGTGCTCAGTCCTGGCTAAGATAAGACCTATTAATGAGTATATACGTATGACCATCTTAAAAGAGATCAAGATAGAGAAAGGCCGTCCTCCTACCCTTAAAAAATAGAGATGAGAATTAGTCATAGACAATGTTTTTTTTTTCGTGGGGTGTGGGGTGGGATTTTATCCTTAGAAGACTCCCGCTCTATATATCAGATTTTGCTTTATTTTTTTTAATAATGTATACATTTTAAAAAAATCTGGAAAAGTCATCGTCCTAGTCTTTAAAAAATAAAGATGAGAATCAGTCATAGGTAATGTTTTTTTTCTCTTTTTTTAGCGTTGGAAGACTCCACTCCAACCAAGTCTGCTAAATTTGTGAATTAAAATTGCTACGACATATTAATAAATTAACAATAAATACTGTAATTCACTTCACTAAACACTAAACACTAAATCCATGTTTAATTCTATTATAATTTATTATTATCTATTATAATCTATTATTATCTATTATAATCTATTATTATCTATTATAAAAAACCTTGGTTAGTTAAAGTAACCTATTACGATTGTTAGTAAACTGCGGTATTCAGTTTATTACATATTCATGAGATGTTAAATAGAGACCAAGATTACATTTAATTGAATTAAATGTATAGGTCTGGGTAATTGACAAGACAAGGATATATTTGGAGAGAGAAATAATGCGGAAAATGAACACTCTTCTATGGACTGCGGACACCTGTAGCTAAGGGCCTTGGTCCTTTGTGGGTTTTATTGCTTAAAAGCAAGGTATTGCTTGAAAGGTAAATAGGTGAAAAATAAAAGGATTCTTTGAATCTATTATCTGTATGAATGGGCAGATTAGCCAAGGTAAATGTACCCGTCGGTAAAGTACAAAGTTTACCGTTTCCAAGGCCCACAATGGGCGACATTTAGCAAGACAAACTTCGCCATTCATCGCTTTTCAATTGAGCTTTTAACTAATTTTGTTATGTGACTGAGCGCAATAATGTTAGTGGTGCATTTTGGGGTTTCAATTAAAGGCAGCCTGTCAGTAGTGTAGAAAAGGTGTTAGGTTAAATTGGTTATAATCCGCGAGTATTCTAAAGATGGGCCTTCATCGATTCAATGGACCCGGCTATCCTACTTCATGAACTCCAGTAGTTAATACTGAAGTCAAACTTATTTAGGCTGTAGTAAGCTCAGTAAACATCATATATATTATTGACCAACCTACATAAATACCGTAAAAATACAGATGTCGCGCGCAAGAACGTCCCGTAGGCCTGTGCGGCATTATACGGTACAGTACTGTACATACAACCGTATTTCTCATCTTATTTATAAACCTTATGTTTTTTAACCGCCTCGTTTTTAAATTTTCACTTTACTTTTTCACACCAAATACCAAAAAATCCCTGCAAAATATTTTTGAAAATCCTTAAATTGATATCGGCCTATTCGCGCGCCAACGTCCAAGTCATGTACACTACGTGTGCATGATAGTCCAGTTTTTTTTGCCTGTCTCTTATACACATCTAGATGTGTATAAGAGACAGGTATTATTATGTAGACCTATTACATAGGTCTATGCATGTGACGAACATATAATAATTATTTAATTTATTAATATTGTATCATTATGTTAAGGTTTGGTGCCTTTAATGGGAACTATTTTCATGTTTTATTTTCTGCCAATGTTACTAAGCCCGAATGAATTAGCTTTTTGATTTTAACGTTTGAAACAAATTAACTTTTTCCCCATATAAAGAGAATCAATCTTATTAAATACAGTAACATTGATTTACTGAGGGTAAACTTGAAATGTTTTCTTTGTCATTGGCCTATGATGTAATATACATTGGGAGTGCATTGTGTACGGGTATGTAATAATAATATAATGGTATTTTTTAATGATTTTAACCTTAATTGAACTTAAAACTATTATTATATCATTTATGTCACCAATATTTTTTTTATAAGAATTATATTTTTATAAATCTTCGTAAATAATGATAAATTTTAATTATATGAATGAATTTTTTTTTACATTTAGAAATTGCCTGTTCTAGGAGTTTTATAACATTTTTGTAAATAGTAATTATGGATAACACATTGTTTTTGTATATATAATGATAATGATATTCTTAATTTTAATCGGCTGTTTTTTTTTTTGTTTCTCTATCTTTGAATGCCTGTTTGTGTTTTATTTCTTACTCTGAATATTTTGTATTATCCAATCTGTTATACGATTGCAATAAAGTTCGTCCTGCCTAATTAATATATACCGTACCATATATATATATATATATTCTCATTGTTTTTATATCATATCATAACATTTTGCAAGATATATTTATATAGGCGTATATACGCATATATGTTATATACATATGTTGATTTATTTATACATACATATACATAAGTATATATATATATATATATATATATATATATATAAATGTTGAGATGTTTAAAAAGTGAGTTTTTAGTTTCGTCTTGAAAATAGCAATATTATGTTATTAAGCCTATATTGTTAATATAGGCCTTTCGTTTACGTTTATCATTTTATTTTATAACAATATTTACAATACTCGTATTCCTGACCGCGGATCTAACGTCTTAATTAATCTAAGAATTCACTAACTGTTGTCATTAGGGGAAGAGGTAATCGAACATCGCTTTCTCTAACAACACAAGTGTTATTATTTTCAATTAGCTTCAGCCGTATACTGTAATTGATTGACGGAACCGCAGTCGTTCCCATGCGTTGGCCTACCGTATGCATTATGTACTAGACACCTTTATCTTAATGACCATTCCAAAAGCATTTACCTAGGCTTTAACCTAATGATACAATAATAAATAGAATAATTATCCTGATTTGTTCATCACAAAGACATGTGTAATAGGCTTATTTAATAGGCGTAATATGTAGCATACGAATATCAATATGTTTGTTTGTGTTATTTGGACAAATAGAACAGATATATTCCCGACGATTTTTTTAAAGCAAAGAATTGAAACTTCTTTTATCTTAACAAATATGGCTGTCATACGCACGCAGCCGTGTATTCCTCGACCAGTCGTTTATGCACATTTGTATTTCTGTAGGAATTTGTGTGTAGGCCTTTTGTAGTAAATTTAAAGTAGTGTAAAATTCTAAAAAGGGGCGGTTCAAACGAAGGAAAATCTAAGGAGACGAGAAATGCGGTTGTATTTTATTTGGCCTTCAGATGTGCTGGGAAATTTAAAAAAAAAAAGTATACGGTACAGGAGCCTACTTGGGTACTTTCCGATCCTGAAGGCAAGATGATACGAGAAAACAGTTTCCTTATTAGGGCGTTATTGTTCTTTCAGTTGGAAAATTTAAATCAGTTCTCTAGACGTGCAAATTGATACTCTGTACCGGTACCTATTAAAAGAATACGCACATAACAAAATCTATATAATTCAATTCAATTCAAAGTGACATATATTTGCGTAGGCCCACGTCTGAAAGTCATAGGTAATGAATATGTAAACGCAAAAACCCCTTAAAGTAGTCGTTGGTTAATGAAGGCATTCTATTTTGAGCTTTCCGATCAAGGTGGGGTACTTTTTCTCTTCTCATTGTCAAGAACGAATCTCTGTGTGTATTGGTTTTTTTTTTTTAAAGAAATATGAATTGCTGTGAATTACATTTGTTATTATAATTATAATATTTATTGTATTAAATGATTGCACTATATATAGCATATAAATTTACTATGAAACGTCTAAAATTCTTTTTTTTTTCCTAATCTGTATTTCAGGTAAACATCTGGACAAAGCCGTTTTGTTGGATTCATTCACTAAACTTCTAATTTGATTTGCACATCAATGCAGGTTCGGATATGCATGTACGAGGTCTATAATATAGGCTACTGTATCACCTTCTTGGCCTACATTATGTACAATGTTGAGTAGTATGAATCAATGATTATCCCAATGACACTGTTAAGTTGCAGTCGCTATCATTTTTCAAACTTGAATTATCGCATGCAAATGCACATGGAAGTAGATTTGATGTGTAAATTCTGTTTAATAATTAGTTTTTCAAAAGAAACGTAAAAAGGAAATATATGCGTCAGATAATTCGAAATATCTTGCCGATGGCAATTTTCTAGCACAAGTTAATTACAATCGAAGTCATGAAAATGGGTGCCTGTAGGCTATATCGGACATATCATGTAAGGGTTTGCAGAGGATTCGATAGGTCCCAGGCGCCTGGTCCACCAAAGTTGACGTGTTTCGGACATCGAGGCCCGGGTACATCATGAATATGTTTCAGTTAACCAAGAACTTTTCAACTTTGAGTTCAAAAGTTGGTGCATCGAACTTTATGTCTCACATAAATGCAATGTACTATTACGACATGTTAAAACTTAACATCGTAAACTCGTTGATTGTCCCTGAAAACTTGGGATTCTTGAATGGATTCGATTGAGCCAGTGCAGTGGTGTATCTAGGAGTTTTGAAATGGAAATGGGGGCGGGGGCTGATGGGGGAGCGAAGGTGAAGTAGGGGGATCGATGATTGGGTGAGGGGTGCCAGCTCGCAAAATAAAGTAATTTGTGGTGATTACTTGAGCATGACGGAGGGGCCGACTGGGGAAGTATTTTTTGGAAGGGCATGCGCCCCCCCCCCCCCCCCCCCCCCCCCACACAAACCACACACACCTAGATACGCCACTGAACCAGCGTTCATCATATCCTACATATTTAGATATATCGAGATCATGTAGAGGATGACAAAAATGTTAAATGAAGTAATTTTATGAAGGTGAATGGCTTTATGAGAAAAAATTCACTGCAGCTGTAACATTCAAATTTGTCTAAAACGAAAAATGTTTAATAGTATACTTATTCCTCCATGGTTCAACTGTCTACTGACGTTCTGACGACGATACTATGTAGTCATAGTGAGTAGTGGAATTTCTCAGCCTGCTCTAACTTCGTAAGAATATCTACTGTAATTAAAGACAAAAACAATCTTACCATTTGTTTATATGACAGGTTAAGACGATATAGATTGTCGTGTAGAATAAAAAAATTGTCGGTTGGAATGGCATTAAATTTTAATTAAAAAATTTAAAAAGTATAACAAACATTTTTTTTTTAATTTATTTATTTTGATGTACAAGTTGTGTTTTTTTTTCTCCTGTACAAACAAAAAATGCTACAAAACTAGACACATATTTTAGGTCTAAAATAATGGATATGGTTTCAGCTTTAAATAACCATGCCATATAAAGATGTACTGTATGTTTATCTTTCAAAACCGTAGGCATATTAACAATGCCATAAATGAATTGGTAGTAAGGTTTCACCAATTTTCAACACAATACGTCATTGAGAAATGATTTACGACACGAGGAAACCGTTTCCACGCATTATAAATTAAGATGAGACATTGTTTACTTCAGTCGGCTATTTCTTACAATTGAAAGTATTGTAACTTACTGTAATTATAAATTGTATTATTTAAAATTATAATAATTTACTGAGATCGGGCTGTGACGGTCAGAGTAATCTCAACCAAATAAAATCTAGACAAAATCTGTTTTCACTGGAAGTGCTGCACACGGTGTTAAAAAATTTATTTTTGAATAGGCCTATTATCGATTTTTGATAATACGAATATGCCTAGTCTACTAATATTATTTCAATTTGATTTTCATAGCCCCCTCCCCCAACCCGATATAGAGAATTGTAGTAAATCTGAATTTTTATATGAATAAAATTTAGTCTATATAAGCTATAAGTGAGCAAAAATATGCATAACAACAATAATAGATCTCTAAGTTAACCCCAAATAACACCCACAAATAACACTAATGCAAGTACCCGAATAGTGTGTTTAGAAACCCTCTAATTCAGAGACCACTTTTTCAAAGAACTCAAGTAACAATCTTTTAACGCGCATATAACCCTCTAAGCGGAGACTAAACCCGGGACCACTTTAAATTTTGAGGTCCCAGAGGTGGTGTTGAATTGTAATTTGAGAGCGGATTTATTATAAGTAATATTTCGGCAGATTTCGATCTTAACTAGAATGAAGACAGTATGACGATTTCTATGTGCACCACATCTATAATTAGGCCTATTGTAAGAGTTTATAACCAGTAGCGGATTCAATGGCTAGGGGAGCATTTTCCAAAACAAAAAAAATTAATGCAGAGAAAAAACAAAAATTAATTCAAATTTAAATCTGAGAATGCATTTTCCGGCCATAAAGAAATGCCATAATTATACATTTTCGTACCTCAGACCCAACCATGTTGAAGCTCAGGCGGTGGTCTGCATCCTCCATCTTTGAAAGTCCCCTGTAGTTCGAATTCCTGGATCCGCCACCGATAACATTTATTCAAGACCCATAACAATCATTTGTAATACCTTTTGTAACAAACACAAAAACTAGATCTCTTACTTTCGCAATTTTTGTTCATAAATTTGACAATAAAATCAACTGGTTAACATGAAAGTGCACTTTTAGTAACGGATCTATAAAGTGATAGTAACTACAGTAGGACACAGTCAATTGCCTAAGTTAGTAACGCATGCCGCGTTAAAGATGTTAGGGAAACACGATCGATTACCCAGTTTGTAACTATAAAATCCGCTTATATCGCAACAGATTTTAAAGTTACAGGCCTACTTTCTGTATTGAGGGAATAAACGGGGTAAATAATATTTTTAACTTTTGAAGTAGTATGTTGTTTGTTTAGTTTCACTTGAAAATTAGATCCGAGATATATTTTCTTCGCCCGTTAACAAAAGGAAAAGTTGCAAATGATAATGTATTTTTCGCGGTACACACTTAAATTTGATTGTCTGGTACTAAAAGTGTGAAACAATTTAAGAAGTTCAACAGTAACAGGTATATAGTCTAAATTAGACTGACTTGTTCGTTCTTTGTCTCATTAGAGTTGGAAATTGATTAGATTTATTAAAAATGAAAGTTTGAGTGGGTTTCCAGATTTGAAAACGTAGTATAATTTTAAAGTAACTTCACCCTTCGAAGTCGAAATTGTTCCAAAATGACGTAGTGTGATGGCGCTGTACCTGTCAAAAACATGTGTTGCAAAGCTGAAAACAGTTTACTGCTATGTTTATCTGATTACCAACTCATGAATACCAAATCGAGTACCGGCATTTGATTATGACGGTTGTAGCGATGTAGAATTACAAAACCCGGGCTTAGCACCGTTTATGTTGCCTTTGTTTGATGAGCAAATCACCTAATTATCCAAGGGGGCGGTTCACAGGCGGTGAAACACTTTTGATATGGTAATGAGGCTGACGAAAGGCTAGCTAATGGCTGAGTATTTTGTCACGTGCTATTTCTAGTGAAGTCCCACAACTCTCTGACAAAGCAAAGATAGGAAGTTATCAAGAGTGCGACAGGCGCATTTATGTCGAATTCTCTCCACTGATTAGAGTGGGTGGCCAATAGTCGCGATTTACCGTAACTTTACATATATGAACGAATTAAAAACCAACCTGACATCTGATTGAAATTATTTTCTGTCGGGTGTTCGTAAATTCTTCTTGGGTAGAATTTTACAACATTTTCATAACTCCTGGGCTGCAAAGAGACAGATTAATAGTTTTCGCTTCTCGGACATCCTGTTAACCATCTCAAAGGAAACAGCAATTTGTCAGCTATCCGTAATTCATGTTACCGCAGGTACAAAATCGGAGCCCAAACGCATCGCCTGATTTACCCGACATGACTATCATTGTATCAGAGAGTGCAATGGATGAGGAGGCTAAGTCCCACACTCTAGGCCAAGAAGGACTTTCATTGGAGAGAAAGCTAGATAACATTATCGATGGTTCGCCTCATTCTCTGGAATCACAACATATTATCGTGGATGAGAATCGCAGCGATGGAGATGACTTTATAAGTTGTAATGAAAAGGACTCGATCGAGATGAAAGAAGACGAACTTGACAAAGAAATGAACGATGCAGAAGATTTCAAAGATCAAGATGATGATGACATTGCTAAGGAGCGAGACAAAGACGGACAAGATACGGGAGACAAGAAAAAGTCAAACTTGGTGAAACCACCGTATTCGTACATTGCTCTTATTACCATGGCTGTATTGCAGTCTCCTCAAAAACGACTCACTTTGAGTGGTATCTGCGAGTTTATAATGAATAGATTCCCTTACTACAGAGAACGATTTCCAGTTTGGCAGAACAGTATTCGTCACAATCTATCATTAAATGACTGTTTTGTGAAGATACCAAGAGAACCGGGTAATCCCGGAAAGGGCAACTATTGGACCCTCGATCCAGCTAGTGAGGACATGTTCGACAATGGTTCATTTTTACGGAGGAGAAAACGCTACAAACGTCAACAACATGATTTGATGTTAAGAGATCATCCGTTTATGACCCACCCCTATGCCCATCACCTAGGCCTCGGTATTCACCACGGGATTTCTCAACATCACCCTATGATGCCGTATCATTATATTTCCCCACTACCACCGCCAGTGCCTCTACCTCTTCCGCCTACGTTGAGCGGTATTTCCCCGTTAACTATGAGCTTTTTACCCGGTCCACCGTGCACAGTCGGCCTACAGTCGGTACCGGGTTCAACGTTGACAACTAATACAAGCTCAAGTGCAAGACAGGGCTTTTCAATAGACAATTTACTTGGACTGAAAAATTCTAATTCACAGTCATCGTCATCAACAACTTTACCCTCAAATAGCGTTAGTGTTGCTTTCCGTCCTCCATCAAGCCTACACTCGCCACTTCGAAGTATTGGTGCTCCCCACGCTACAAGCGCTTTTTCAGCACCGGTAAACTTTGCTTCAGACTTGGAAAAGTGTAGGCAATGTGTACAGTGTACAGGCGCCGCATCGCTTTGTACTTGGAGATGTTAGTGTATACTGCATAGCAAACCCGGACATAAGGCTTATCTTCTGCTAAGCATTCGAAGGACTACAACAAAAGTAGCCAGTACTTTAGCCGGCCTAGAAAACATTTCAACCAGAACATAAATGTGAAACCAGTAAATTAACATTTTGCTTAACAGTTTTTATTATATGTATGACTATTGACAAAATTTCGTTGACATGGAACGGAGTATTTTTACGGTGAATAAGCCTAGACATCGATACCCAGTTTAGAGGCAAGTTTTTGCAATTCATTTGTTTTTTAACGATATTAAATTATATTAATAAAAATATAATGCCAAAGCGTTTACCGGTACCAATTCAAGTTAAAAGTCACAATAATTTACTATTTACAAATACTGCTCAGGTACTATGCTAAAGAATACAATAGGCTACGACCTAAACTTAAATTTCCAGAACGAATCTGTACTTCGAGTCTGAACCTTAAAAACTCATTTCTGTCAAACAATTAAGAAGAGTTTTGAAAATGGACAATGGACAACAAAAGTACTTATTTCTTGTTCTATGAAATTTAAGATTGAAAACCCGTGTTTATATAACTAATGTTTAGGTATAGTTTTCAGAGGTCTGATTACATGAGATAGCCCAACATCAATTTAAGGGCACAAAGGGGATACCCGTTTTGGTTACCTTTTTCTAAATCAAGCCATCGACGCTTTACAATGAGCCTGTCAATTTCTGTGAAAATCAAACACTTATTAAAATCGCAGCGCGGTTAAGCGTTGATTGTATACACCGCTTCATATTATCCTCTCTAGACCCTTTGGCAATATGTTGATTCTAATCACTTGAGCGTAAGGGAAACATAATTACAAGTTAATTCTCTAACAATGTCTGAGATTTCTCTATAAAAGCTCAAAAGTTATTCAGTTTATAGTCGTAGTTTTACACCTCTCATCTAGGGGTGAGTAACCTTACAATAAATATAATATATCCTTGTTGAGTTGCCTTGTAATCAGGATATGCCTAGGCCTTGTTTTGTCTTCACAAATTGGCATATCATAATTTCGATATATTTACACTAATTAAGAAACGAACTTGTATTTATAATGTATTACAATGGATAAAACATAAATCGTTGTAAATGGAAGCCTAGTCAATATACACCTTTAAAATGATAATCGTTAAAATGTTTATTGACCTTAGGTGTTGTGCATCGAATTTATCCATATTAAGAAATGGTTTACCGGTATTGATGCTTGGCCTGTACCTATGCGCCATTCGTTGTTATATTATACCATAATGATGTGTTTTTAAGTTATTAAATCGTTGAACTGATTATAAAAAAAATGACTTTCACTATTTATATTACTATAAAATTGATATGCAATGTATGGTGAAATTTGTGATTTTAAAAATTGTAAGTTTTGTCTCAACGAAATATTGTCTCTAGTACTAAATACAACTGTAATGGTAAGACTGTTAATATGTTAGCATTACGGGTGTGTCGCTGGATAACCATGTGTTGTCCCACCGAATATACATTTGTTTGTGTTTGTTCACAAAAATAGACCTAAATTAGTATATAACACGTGGTAATGGGGACCATGTATTAATGTATGTATATATTTATTAACGCTAGAAAAGACTAAAGTAAGGTACACTTTGTGTCTGAAATGTTGTATAGGTAGTGTGGTTACTGTACTTATCATTGTCATACACCGATGGTGATTGTTTTAATAACCTACCATTTCTTCATAATGATGTTAATAATTAATAGTTGTTCGACAATTGTGGATGGACATATTCGTTTAAATGTCTGAATTCATGTTGCATCCTAAATTATGAAGATTGTAAATTATTTGTGCAATTATTATGACAAAAAACAAGTATTAATTAGTCGTAGATTATGTATGTATGTATGTATGTGTCAGGAAGGAAATCCAGATGAGAAAAGCTTCGTAGAATATACGTTTGTATTGAAAAGATCTCGGATTGTGTTGTCTTCATTTAGTGTTCGGTTGTTAATTCGTCCAATTTGTCATTTTAAAATTTTAATCCTTCAATTTATTGTAACTAAACCTCCGTACTACTTTCCAAGTAGGCCTGTGAGAGGCTTAAGCCTGTCTCTTATACACATCTTTTCGTTGACATGGAACGGAGTATTATATATGTGTGTGTGTGTGTGTGTGTGTGTGTGTGTGTGTTTTATATAGGCCTGTATATACATATATAGGATGTATATGCATTTATATAGGCCTATAGGTATATACTTCAATATAAGTTATACTTATATCTGGGTATGCAATAGAGTTATAGGAGTTTTATCATTCTATGTGTTCACATAGGCCTATATATGTGTTAATTATGTATATAGTATTGTTTTTATATAGGGGCCTATTCTTTTATTTACTTTTTGTTTCTACATGTTATTACATAGACCTACACATCTACTCTAAAGGAAACTATTTAAATCAAACTGAATAGTATGCGTTATATATTGTAAATAACAGATTCAAGAAACGACAAGTAAAGTCTTAGAATCAAACGTTAAGGGGAAAATCCACGTAAGCTTACGCCTAAATAATTAATAGGCCCTAACAGAAATATCTGACAATTCCAGGTATTTGTCAATGGAAAACTGACTAATACCAAAACTACAGGGCCTAAATAATAACACAAACTGCACATCTCATCTCACATCATTAATCATTATTTAAATATATATATATATATATATATATATACTTATATATATGTATGTATATATAAATCAACATATGTAAATAACATATATGCGTATATACGCCTATATAAATATATCTTGCAAAATGTTATGATATGATATAAAAACAATGAGAAGACGATAAAATTAAGGAATATTATATTATTGTCCACAATACAACGAGATGCAATTGAATTATGATCCAAGTGCTTAAACATTGGGTTAAAAAGATATATATATATTTATATATAAATATATATATATACACTTATATATATGTATATATAGGCCTATATATATGTATGTATATAAATCAACATATCTAAATAACATATATATGCGTATATACGCATAAATACGGTACCTTGATATATAAAAACAATGAGAAGACGATGGAATCAAGAATTTTTTTTATTGTCCACAATACAACAAGTGTGTGTGTGTGTGTGTTTGTGTGTATGAATTATATAGCGTTATGAATAAGGCTGTACATTATAGCCTTTGTGTTGTGTCATGCCGGTCAAGGGAAAAGCACCCGACAACGAACTCCGAAATACTAGATGATGATAAAGCACTATACTCTCACCATTCGACGGCCTTTAACATTTCGCTTTATTTTAATTCACAATTATTTGCTACATTGCCTCTGAATTATCCACATTATCCACAACGTTTACTCTTGTCATGCAAAATCACAGTTTGACTTACAAGGAAATTCATCGGTGAAAAATTCAACAATAATATTGTTTTTTACTGGTTTGTAAGCCATACAGTAGGAATATTATCAATATGTTTATCCAACAACAGAAGTAATTATTTCTCTACGGATTTTTTTGTTTTTCGATATGAAGATAGGTAGCTTGGTAGGCCTAGTTAAGGCGTTTGCCTTTTCCCAGGGTCATATGATGAAATCCTGTAAAACACCAAATATTTTTTTCTTAAGATTATAACTTAACCGCTCATCGTAACGTTCCAACATGTACACTAACTAATTGGCGAGTTAGAAATGTAGTATACATTGTAATTGTTGTACCTAATGATGAATATAACAATAACGTTACTTCAGCAGGTTATTCAAATAAATATTTAAATATTTTGTTTGCCTGAAGTCCGATTTTAAAACTCTGACAAGCAAATTAGCTTAAGTTGCTAGAGGCTGTATTATCATAAATATTTACTGTCTGCAAGAAAATGAAAGATACACAATAATAATAATAATAATAATAATTTATATTTTTAGGAACTATACTTATATAGGCCTATCAATGACAACTATTTAAAATGAAGTGTGCGTCTAAAACAAAACAAAGAGTAAAAAATCACATTTAAAACAAAATAATATATACTTAATCTACAAAGAAGTATGGAGAGTTTTACTGCTTAGGCCTAAGTTAAAGCAGACTGGGTACATGATATTACGTTACAGGTGTTTATTAGGCCTACGCGTATTGTCACTGCTATACTGTATTGTTTCCAACAAAATCAAAGACATGTTTTAAGTCATCTAATTGAGAATTGCACCGACTTTGACTTGTATTGTCTTACTCTTCGATTTGATTTAATTGTTATGATTAATACATTATGTATCAAAAAAGGGATGATTGCTTCTCTCCGGAAATTATATAAGTATGTTTTCATAATAAAGATATCCACTTAAACGAGTGTTGGTGTCATTTAATTGATTCAAGTTCCCAATACAACTCAAACAGATATAGTTGTTTATTAGAATTGTGGCAATGCATAGCCTATTGTAATGATACCCGGTGTTAAAAAAACGAAATGTGCCTGATTACAGCTTTTATTACGATGTTTTGGCTTTTTCGCCGCTAGTAGGTGTTACTATTGTTTCACATTGCGGTAACAAGTAATGAATTTATGGGCTTTAGTAACGTTAGTGATTGTCGGAGGGAAAACGCGTTATAAGGTGGACGATGGTGTAACAACGTAGTCACTAGTATTTCAGTGCATCTGTACGCAGTGTGCATTTAGGGAATTTCTTGAACAAGCGTAGATCATAAGTCTTGTCAGATATCATTAGTTAATGCTATTATTCAATCCATTATCGCCGTATCTATTGTATCCTTAGTATCTTAGTATTTCTACTTTATTAGTTTGAGTAAATAGGTTGAGTATGAAGAGTATCAACTTGCATAACACTTTTTTCCGTCCACGTCTATCACACTCCTCTATTTAATTTCTTAAAATAATCTGGTGTAAGACTATGTAAAGCACAATGAATTAGTAATATAATGTAAAGTATATAATGTAAAGTATATAAATTTGACATAACGCAAAAACAAAGTCTCAGTGCGCTAATAAAAATGAAACATAAAGGCGTTATAGTTAGGCTGCCGTTTATCAGAACTAATTACTCAACGCCATATAAATATTTATTTGTCATACCATTATTTTTTATTTTTTAATATGCCTATCTCATATTTTGTGTATATATATTCTATGTCTTATGTTAGTGTGTTTTAATAACATGCAAAAAATAACTGTTTTCATCGATGACAATAAAGTATTATTGATTCTTGATCTAAAGACATACATAGTGTATGCCTACTCTATGTCTATATACGGTATATTTATATACTTGCTTAAGTTTTGCCCATACCTGCTGCCCATAGGTCTAATTTCAATTGTAAAAATATTACCAGAGTTTTTTTTTCTGTCGCGCCTAAGACGATTTGTTCTGCACCATTGACGCGTAAATAACCTAATTCAGTACAATCGTGCAGTTTTGGTTCTTTACTTACCGTACATTTCTTATTGCTTATATGAAGTTGGTTTTTCATGATACAAAATATTCATCTTGGCAGATCGTATAAGGGGAACAAACGGTCCTTTATTTGTATTAACAATAATAATTATATATCTGATGTGTTACCTACATAAACGTATGAAAATAATAGTTAATTCATTTTTATGTTCTACATGTTCGTGCAAGATAACACTAAACACTATTATTCAGTGTTGTAAGGTTTAGAGTTTACTTCTATAATCATGATTTATATATTTATATATAGGCCTATATATATATATATATATATATATATATATATATATATACATAAGTATATAGGCCTGTGTGTGTGTGTGATACAATATTTACCGTTCTTATAATGATGAATAAAAAGTGTAGTCGCTAATAATCTGCTATGGAACAATAAAAGAAATGGCAACAGCGGCAGCAAGTTAGTCTTAAAATTGCTGCTGTCATTTCCTTTGTATCGTTCTTATAATAATGGATTTTAGTTGCACAAAATCTTTAAACCAGCGAAAATTAAATTATTTCGATCTGTGTCGCATTGGAATTCAGAATAATAAATAATTTCGTTCATTTAAAATGAGCAATTTATGTTGCAATTACATTTTTAAGCTTCGCAAAATCACAACACACTGGTGTTAGGCATATATCGTCATAGGTTAGAGTACCAGAAGTGGAGTTTTATTTTATATAGGCCTACAGTAAATATACTATAGGTGATACTATTGATTACATCACCAAATCTATATGCGTGTTTCTAGGTGCAATAATGTTGACTTGAAGTTGATATAATTTGTTCAATTCGATCGCAACCTCTGTCCTAAAATAAACTAATTCACCGCTGGTAGCTGTTTAGTAGCAGAAGAACAAATGTTTGCACTTGTCCGTGTTTGTAGTTTGCTATAGCAGTACTTGTCTTGTAAGTAAATGTGGTAAAAAATCTTTGTAGAAGCCGCCCGGGGATTATTTGAACATTTACATTAGTGAAGAAAACATGGTTATTTAACAGATACTTGCGAGGTAAAGCATCTTTTTACGAGAAACTAGATTTAAGGTAGTTTT